GCCCTTGAGTGCTGGCTTTTGCTGCCTTCTTGCCCCACACCCTAGAGTCCAGGAATACTGTACTTTCTATAATTCCCTAAAAACACTCCACCTGCTGTTCTCACCACCAGCAAAGCACTGACCATCTGGCTCCTCTGTCCAAATGCTGCTCTCTTGTGCTTTAGACACACATAAACACACAGGAAGGAAGAGGAAATCCTCCCCGATGCTTTCGGGTTAAGGCACCTCTTGTCCCAAGTGCCCACCGCACGTTGGAAACGCTCCCTGGGGCACAGTGTCCTGCTATGTTTTGTGTGCACACGCCTAGACTGCTAGTCTCTGGAAGACAGGGGTTGTGCTCTTTGGTCTCTCTCCTTAGCCCATTGCAGAGTGGCCTACATTCACTGAGTTGTTACAATCGATGGATGCATTTAAAACAAGTTCAGGTTTATTTCTCACTATCGAATGTAACAGCCCAAAGCAATCAAAGGCTGAAAGTCCACGGTGGCCAACAAAACAAATACAGACATAAAGCAATCATCACACAGCCATGAAGAATGTACTTCCGACTGCTGACTGGGGCTTCTACGTGCTCCGTGTTCTGAGAACACACCGCAACCGGAACGCAATGCCGTGAGAACAGCAGCGCCAGCCAGCCCTTTGACAATGAGCTTCTGGTGGCCGAGACAGACAGGCAGCCTGCCGGGGAGCGCTGCCAAGGGCAGGTTGGTCTCGCTGGCAGGAAACAGACTTAGAGCATCTCACAGAATCAGGACAGAAGATATGGGGCTGTGCGTAATCTTGCTCAACGCCCACTCAGCTTTAAACCTCAAAAGCTCACCAAGAACTTCAGAGGGACCAAGTCTGTTTTGCTGAAACCCACTGTTCCTTCTTGGTTTCTTCAAGCTCAGTGCTTTGGGGCAGAAGGGATGAGCTGAACTTTAACTATGCTTCCAGCAGTGGACACAAGGAAAGCCCACACATTGCAACTATAGGGAAATACACAGAAAGGACTTTGCACAAACCAGGTAGAGAACCGAAAGGTGCTTGGAAGAAAAATCACCTGCCGGGCAGAAGCCTACCCATGCCAGTCCTGGGATGACAGAGGCGGAGTCAGGGGCCTGTGTGCTCAGAGGTAAGACAGGCCGATGGCCACCTGGCTGGTGGGTAAATGCCCTGGGCAGTGAACCATAAGCTGAGGACCATCAGGGTGGGATGCAGACTCATTGCAGCAAAATAATAATAATAATCATAGCTCAAACAACATTCCTGGAGTCCATCGGACACATCATGTGGGAAAAACACTTTTTTTTCCATCCACTTCAAAAATAGGAAAATGCAATGGGGGAAATTTTAATACTGACAAGGCAGATAAAGTGCATGTTACACCTTCTTAAAACAACACTCTCTGCAAAGGAGGCCCTGGTTTGGAACTCCCCTTTTCATGTCCTCATAAAACAATGATTTATTGACCATCAAAGACACATTTTTATTATTTCAGTTTTCCTGGTATGAGAATTTCTGGTAGATAACTGAAAAAGCTAGCTCCTATTTCCTTATCAACACAGAGAATGTGCTCATATTACAGATTTGCCATTATAGGGGGAAGCAGTGGACAGGAAATAACAGGGGAGGCATATGAAACATCTATCAACAAAATGCAGTCAAAGCCCACAGATCTGTGTGTGTGTGTCCTCCACACATGGTACTGATATATACATCCAAGTCCACCCTCCAGGACAGGAGGGAGTGGCAGGAAGACAGAGGGTGCAGAGCACGCACCTTATCCTACAGCCCTGAGCCCCACCTAGGGGATTTCCTCTGGCGGCCCCCCCCCACGCTCCCAGCCTTTCCAGGGCCCCATGGCCTCTCTCTGTTTCTGATTAGTCTACTTTACCACTTCGATAAGGGCCATGCAAAAGTTATCTCAAAACTATAAAAGTTCAGTGCCCCATTTGTTTGGTGGCATTTTCTGAATTAAGTGCTCTGTGCTATCTGTAAGATCATAAAAACGTGTTTGTTTTTTTCTGGCAAGATTCCTTTCCACCTAAACCACTCACACCACCCTCTTGACTTAGAAAGCTTTCTCTGTCACCCACCTCTTGGAATCATTTCTTTTCTGACCCTTGACTTCCTGCCCATCCTTCAAAGACCCCTTAAGAAGCCTCTTCCTCCCGAAGTCTTCTCTGATTTAAACTCCCTCTCCTTCTTTTGCCAGCCTCTGCACCTGTCTTGTCATGCTACTTTACTATTATTACAGCTTCACCCTGTCTACTAGACTGTGACCTGTGAAAACACAAATGCCTTCGTCTTGTTCCTCACTGGCACAATGTTCTACAGATGGCAAATGTTCACTGTCCTGGGAATGAGTGCACCTGCCCTTAGGTCTTAGATAACCCAGGATAATCATGGCTGTGTATAATCAATTACCTTAATGAAAATAGTGTGCTTCCATATTTTCTTACTTGGAATAAACAGGACTATCAACCTAAAAACTCAAAATGTTTTTATCTGTAGGCAAATACTATTATTATGTTTGAGAACAAATTCCCTTGCAACTATAGGCACGCAGAGATATAATCACAGAAATGTTCTAAAAAGCTAAATGAATAGTCTTCCAGGTAAGTCTCAATATATTTAATATAATGTACATGAAACTAAATACATTACTTGGTGGATAAAGCAATTTCTAGAAGCTGTTTTTCCCAACAACTTTGCAAAACTAATTCCCATGCTAAGCATTTCCTGAAGCCTTACCTGATGTTTGATCATTAACGACATCAACAGATCACCAATTCAATTCCTACATTTTTTAACTAACATAACAGGCTGGCTACTGGTCCTCAGTAGCACCTGAATACAGAGAGTGCTTGTAAGCACGGTATCTTTGGGGGATGATATTTTAACACTGCATCTAGCCCCACCTTTCAGAGAAAATGAATGCCCATTGGGAGGTTGGGCACCAACTAAAATAATGCAGAAAAGCACCCCAATCTCACCTGATTGTAAAGGAGTTCAGGAAATGCCACCCCCAAATACAATGCTTTGGTGGGCTGATGACTTTGAACTGGGGGCACCTGGGGAACAGCAGCAGATGCAGGCAGAGGCTTTCTCTGAGCTCCCCTTCCTTATCTGCCTAAAGACAAAGGCTCCGAAAGGAACTTGATAGTCATGAATCCCCTCCCTGGGAATCTTATCCACCAAGGAAGAGTAACTGGGATCACAGGAGAGGTGGCTAGGGGTTGACATGCTGCCCAGACAGTTACCTCTCCCAAGGGCCCTATGAGACAACTTTTATTACCTGAGAGACTTCATCTGCCTAACAAAGCCACCTTCATTCAACATTTCCTCCCCTCAAATCCCCATAATTTGGGTCCCCACCACCCCCAGAAGCCTCAAGGTCCCATTCCTTTCTATAGTTTAGGATGCTGTATAAACTTCTTAGAGTCTCTATATTTTGTGAGATTCTAGTGCCTACGTCCGTAATTCAATAGGTTTTCTCTCCTGTTAATCCATCTTATGTCAATTTAATCTGTAGCCCAGCCAACAAACCCAGAGGGCTCCTAAATGAAGTCATTTGTTGCTTCTTATAATTGGCACTGACCAATGCAGAAGTTTGGATATGATTTTAAAAGATGCATAATTAAAATGGCTTAAAGAGAAAAGGAGGGGAAACAGCACTTATTGAAAGGTCTCCCTGAAAAATAAACTTGTTTCCACAGCATTTGCTGTTAATATTAGAACCTAAGACATTCAATGCACATATGTATATATGTAGTTTTTGCAACAGCAACCTGAGATAGTTTTTTAACTGCGGGGTCAGGCAGCTAGCTGTTCACTGAAACCCTGGACTTTAGTTCGAATAAGGTAGCACCTTGTTCAACCTGTTGAACACTTAATTAAGCAACACCTTGAAGTGCTTAAAACGACAAATTCCATTAGGCTTTTCCGCCTTCTTTCCCTCAATCACTCTAAGGGACCCGTACAATTGGGAATGAAATAGAATGAATCTTCTGCGTCAGCCTACAGTACACTCCTATTATTTTTGTCAAAGTTTTCCTCTCTTCTCACCCCAAACATGTTTCATTCTCCAAGTGCACCTCCCCAAGTCCGCATGGCGTTGGGCGCCCTGCCGCCCAGTGATGTTAGCAGCCTGAGCCAATTTTAACAGAGAAGGGAAATCTGAGACTGCTGAAACCAAGAAAACTACCGACACTCACTCTTCCCTCTGGAAAGCTTTCGAGTGCGCATCAACGACTGTTAAAGCATTTGGGCTGGGTTTGCTGTACTGTACGTCTCTTCTCCAAGAGGACAGAAAATCAGAACCTGGCTTTGTTTACTTGATAACTGTACTGCGTGGGCCGGCAAAGAAATCTCTTCTGAGCAGCCACTCCATTTCCAGGCTCCCTAGAACGCCTGCCCAAGCCCTTTCCCAGCCAGGTGGTGCCCCTAAGCGTGGGGACAGGGGTGTGTGGTCCCCAAAGGGGCCCTCGCCCAAGGCAACCCCGCGGCTCAGGGATCAAGGGAATCGGGTCTCTTTCTGGGTGGAAGTTTGGAAAGGAGACCACCTGCGAGGGACCGTATTTGGGAATAGGTGTCTGACGCGGGTGCCGTCTAGGACTCGGCTCGAAGGGAGCAGGGGCTGTCACCTCACAGCAGCCGCTCCGCGGAGGCGCTTAGTAGGTGCTCAAGAGGTGTTTGGAGAGTAAACGATAAGCGTCAAAGTCTCGACTGAGGGGGGCTCCTGGAAGAGCCCGTGTCGGGGTGTTGGGGGTCCCGCCAACCTGCCCCTCCTGCGTCCCGACACCCGTCCACCTGCCCTCTCCCCGGCGCGCACGCAGTCCGACCCCGCAACCGCCTCCCCCGGGCGCCCCAGTCTCCGCGCCCACAGCCTGGGCTCCGGCTTCTCGGGAGGCGGGGAGCCAGGACGCGTCGCGGCGCCCTCGCCCGCGTCCCCGCCCAGGGCTCCCGAGAAGGCGTCGCGCCGCGGGACGGCAGGCAGGGCGGGCGCGGCTCCTTACCTGCAGCCGGGCGAGCAGCGCGCAGAGCGCCAGCAGCGCGGGCAGAGGGCGGCGCCGCCGGGCGCGCGGGGCCATGGCGCGGTGCAGGCTGGCTGGGCCGCCGCCTCTGCGGCCTCTGCGGCCGCCCGCGCGGCTGCCGTCGGCCCCGGTCGTCGCCCCGCCGCGCCGCGCCCCGCCCGCACCTGCCCGCGCGCAGCCCGCCCTGCGCTCGCCTCCCGCCGGCCCGGCCGGCCGCGCCCGCCAGGTGGTGCCCGAGCGCGGGGCGTGGCCGCGCTGCCCGCCCGCTTCGCCGCGGGACAGCCGGCGCTGGCGCGGGAGGGCGCCCGGGGAGAGCTCGCCGCGCTCAGTGCCGCCTTTGTGTGGCCCCGGCCCGGCGGCCCCGGTGCTCGCCGCAGTGGGCGCGCGAGTCAGCCCGCCAGCGTCCTGCGCTCTCCAGGCCCCGAGGCTGCCCGCCCGCCCGCGGCGCCCCGGCGCCCCGCCCTCGGTGTCCCCAAGTTCACTGGCCCCTGTGTGCCAGCCCCGGGCCTGTGGGCTGGCCTCAGCCCTTCCACGAGGGGCCTTCCGAAGGTGGGCGCACAACCACCGAGAATGAACGGGAGGCGGCTCCGTATTGGATGGAGATTTCATTGGCTCCCGTTAAAGGATCAACAGAATACGCCGTCCACTCCGCTTCACAAAACACTCCTTTGCATAGATAGCGCGGTTCTTTCCTTCAGAATCCTCCGGCCAGCAGCCAGGTCCTCTTGCTCGTCCCCCAGACCCTCTCTCTGCTCCTCACCCCTTCTCCGCCCGGTGCCTACCGAGCTCTCCGGGTTGGCACCAAGCTCCACTAGCTTTGCTCCGCCACCACGCTGTCCCTTCCAGATGCAGAACTAGCCACACGTCGGGGTACAGCATCCTGTTGCTTTTGTGGTTGGTCATTACTTGCTTAGGATCGTGTCTTTCCTCACATTCTAGGTCAATGCTGGATACAGACGTATACTCACTCCTTTGTGTAAGTAACTGTTTATATGCAGATACTTGTCCCATGTCAATATCATGTATTCTGTTTTGAATTCCTGAAGTGCCGGAATCATCTACTTGCCTTACTTTTACCCCAAACATGGTGTATCCTGGTCGATAGTCCGTGTACACGTGAAAAAGCTATGTATTTTGCTATTGCTAGTAACGTGTTTTATGAATATCAATTAGGTCAAATAGGTGAAAATACTCCCACTGGTTTTCTGTTATTCTGAGAAATAGTATGGGAATTTACAACAGCTGGATTTGTCTACTTTTAAAGCTCTAATTAAAGGCATAAACATTGAGGATTATTATCTTCTTAATGAATTGACCCTTTAATCATTATATGTTCCCCTTGATCCGTGGTAAAAATTTCAAATTCTGAAGTCTACTTGGACTTTAACTATATGGCCACTTCACTTGTATTATCAATAGTATTCATATGATGTATCTCATACTATCCTTTTAATTTAGCTATATCGATTTATTTAAAGTGACAGCATATATTTGGGTCTTGGCTTTTTCCATTTTATCCAGTTTGACAATCTCTGCCTTTTGATTGGACTGTATTTAGAGCATTCACATTTAATGTGATTATGGATATCAGGAAGTTTAAGTCTACCATCTTGCTATTTATTTCCTATTTGTTTCACCTTTGTTTCTTTTCCACAATCCTTTGAAGTGTTTGAGTGTTTTTTAGGATTCCATTTCTTTTCCATTGTTAGCTTATTGTATATACTCCCTGTTTTATTTTTATTTTTTAGTGACTGCTAGGTTTCTAATATCAATATATTAAATAATAGTCTACCTTCAGATAAAATTTGCCACTGTATATGTAAGAGCCTTACATCAGCATACTTCCATTCCCCTTCCCATTAAAATGGTAGCTTTGTGCTATTGTAGTCATACTACTTGCTGGCATATAAACTTCCTACTGTGCAGCCTGATTGGTGCATTGCCCAGTCACTTTGGTGCTTTTTGGCAGGGAATATGGGAGTCTTGATTAAAAATCTTAAAAATGCAAACATCCTTTAATGAAGCAATTCCATATCTTTGAATCTAATATATGAATACATAAAGAAAGAAGCACCAAGATGTTTATTGTAGCATTTTATAAAACCACAAAAATAAAAAAATGTGCATGTTAATAGACAAATAGTGGAAAATATTATGGTCCATCATAGTTAATACAATGTAGGTATTTAAGAGAATTAAGTAGCTTTGGAAAGATGTTCTTGATACATTAAGTAAAAGAAGCAAGTTACAGAGAGCAATATCATCCCTTGTTTGTATAATAAATAACCATAAATGCAAGTTTCTGGAAAAAATAATAGTAAACACTAATAGCATACTAACACTTACAGATCCATTTAATCCTCACAACAGCGTGTGAGGAGTACTATACTCTCATTTTACAGATAAGGAAACTGAGGCATGGAGAGGTTAATAACTTGCTTAGGGGTCACTTGCCAATAAGGGGCAGCGCTGGGATTCAAATCCAGGCTGTCTGACGCTGGAGCAGGAGTCCTGCCTCACTCAGCACCAAATTTTTAACATCAGGTGAATTGTAGAACGGAAAGGAGAAATTACTCATTTTGCTTTTGATGTTTCTAAATTATTTACATTGAGGAAAAAGTACTTTTGCATTTTTAACTGACAGTTGTATAAATTTGGAAAATAGATGTTAACACTCTAAATGAAGTGAACACAGGAATGGTCTCAAGTACAGATGAAATAATGTTATCTGGCCTGTAGTTATCCTGAATGAAGGGACAGACTTTCTAGAAAAAGTAGTGGTTAGGAAGGCTGTATGAGATTATGATTTTGCTAAAAGGAACTGACTTGTGGGAGAAGGTACTTTCACTGTGGCACTTTGTGAAAAATACCAAGCCTTATTCCTGGCACATTTCTAACATTACCCCCTTCTATTTTCAAGAAAGATTAGAGGACTTAAAACTTCTGCTTGGAAAGCCCCAGAGGTGAGTGTGCTGTATTTGGAAACACGTTTGAACAGTAGAATGCCCATTTTAACATATTAAATAAAAATTAAAAAATATTTTTTTTTAAATTAAATACTCTTGGTCGGGCACGGTGGCTCATGGCTGTAATCCTAACACTCTGGGAGGCCGAGGCGGGAGGATCGCTCAAGGTCAGGAGTTCAAAACCAGCCTGAGCAAGAGCGAGACCCCGTCTCTACTATAATAGAAAGAAATTAATTGGCCAACTAAAAAATATATATATTTAAAAAAATTAGCCGGGCATGGTAGCACATGCCTGTAGTCCCAGCTAGTCAGGAGGCTGAGGCAGGAGGATTGCTCTCTAGCCCAGGAGTTTGAGGTTGCTGTGAGCTAGGCTGATGCTATGACACTCTAGTCCCAGGCAACAGAGTGACACCCTGACTCAAAAAATAAATAAATAAATAAATAAATACTCTTTGAGACTATTTCTGGGCCAGGTGCAATGGCTCATGCCTGTATCCTAATGCTCTGGGAGGCAGAGGCAAGAGGATTGCTTGAAGTCAGGAGTTCAAGATCAGCCTGAGCAAGAGAGAGACCCTGTCTCTACTAAAAATAGAAAAAATTAGCCAAGTATGGTGGTAGCATGCCTGTAGTTCCAGCTACTCAAGAGGCTGAGGCAGGAGGATCATTTGAGCCCAGAAGTTTGAGGTTGCTGTCAGCGAGGTTGAAGCCACGGGACTCTACCCAGAGCAACAAAGCGAGACTATTTCTGTATTTACAGAACTATCACTCAAATAATTCGCATATTTTTATAAACATTAATGTAGAATACTATTTGTTAATAACAAAACCCATTAAAATGAGCTTAAGGATGTCACATTTCTTATACATAATAGCATTATTAGGAGAAAATTTATGTCAAATACTATTTGTCTATATCACCTGAAGAATGAATACATTATAGCTAAGATGGTTGATCAATATTTGCAGAGACTAGCTTAAATGCTGCTTATAATCCTAAAACCTCATATTTAGCACATGTACAATTAAATTTTGGTTATATGTTGCTAAATGTAAAAATGTTTTAAACAATAGATGCTTTAATATTTATTAAAGTTAAATGTTTTCAATTTTTAAAAAGTAATCAGCTGACAACGAACTTTCTTATTTGTACTGAGGAAAAACAAAGCGTATCATACATATACAGGAATCATAGATTTATATGAAAACTTTTATATGGATAGTGTGCACCTCACATTGGAAATCCCCACTTCTCACTTCTTCATGAACTCTTTAGTTTTCAGAATTAAAAAGGTAAAATAGAAATGTGGCTATCATTTTTGTTTCTAGTGGATGGCTTGCAAGTATTATATTACATTTTAACGGGTCTTCAGTTTAAGCACCAGAAAACATAGTCACGATCTTTTAAATAAAATGCTTGTAAATGTCAGCAAGAATAAGAATTCATCCATTTTTGTAATTTTCTTCACATGGTGATAAGGAAATAGCTGTTGTTACTGGGTATGGAGCTTAAGAGAATACATTAAAGACTTAAAGTAATTAAGTAAACAAAAGACTTTACAAATCTTTCATATGGTAAAAATTTACTAATAAATATAGATGTTTTTATTACCTACCTTGTAATGTCTTGCTCTTTCTCTCATATTGCCTATAACACACTTTTTAAATAAAAGTAAACCATTCATAAATCAGTATTGACTCAGATAGATCAAGGTGCAGTGCTATCCCATAATGACATCCAAACATAATTTGAAAACTTTCGAACTGTATATACGGGTATCTATCTTGCTTACTTTGGTAGGCAAGAATTATTTTAGTTCTACAAATTTGGTATTCAAAATAAATGAAATTCTAAGCTGTATGAGTAAAACTAGTAGGTATCACATACTTTTTGGACATTTTGTTACAGATAAAATAGTATCAAGTAGAAACATATAATTTGTATCTCCTCTATTTCCCTTTTTCTAAACTCTAATTATTTGATGCCACACTGGAGGAGATGGCTGTATGTCCCTTACACATGAACAGAAGCACAAGTGTTATCCTATATATTGAGGGCAAAGCTTTACTTTCATACTGGTTAGGTTCAGAATGGCCTCAATAGATAATCAATGCTGCTATCTTG